CCTAAAGGTTCACTAAATTTAGCCCTAAACGTTCACCACTAACATCTCTAATTATAACGTTTTTTAATCGTATTGACAAATATTGTTTAAAACTTTTTTACAATTTACAACTAACCCTTAGGGTAATGGTAAGTGAATTTCAATGAAATACAATAATGATTGTAATTTTAGAGGTAATTTTACCTAGATAATATTACCACCCTTTGCTAGAATTCACATTATATTACCAAGTTTATTTATACAGATAAATATGATATTAGGTAGAATATTATTTATAAAACTCTTGCCATTTTCTTTAGATCCAAATTTCAAACTATAATCTAAAATTATTGACCAATTTTAAATTATTGACCACAGTACAGACCGAGGGTTATTTACACAATCAATATGTATATAATCTATACGTTTTTTGTGGGAATTATAAGTCTATAATGAGATCTGTTTAACACATTTTATTCATATTTATTATAACAATTGAAATTGAATTGAAATTGAAAATATAATGTTTACATTTAGAAATTATATAATATTTAAATTCTATTAATATAATTACTTTTTACAAAAAATTAATAAATAAATTATTTTGTTTAAAAGTTTGTCATTTTAAAAAATTTAAAATTGTTAACATTTTTAAAAGCAATAAAGCTTTGTATAATTCTGCTAAAAAATTATTAAAAAATTTGCGTCAAAATGAGTGCCGAAACGGATGGCAAAAGTGTTAAACATCTGAAGACAGTTGTCTTGAATCACGATTTAGTGATTGAGATCTTCTCATACCTCGAGATCCATGAGTTGTTACCTCTGGAGAGAGTCTCAAATCAGTTCCAGTTTTGCGCCAACTATTGGTTCCGCAAACAGAAGACACTCTCAATCGACAGTTGTTTTTATATCAATAGATATCTACCGAAAGATGATATCATTCCTCATAAGAAATCATTTCCAACACATATTCTTGAGACCAATTCCGAGGGAAAGCCATGTCTTATGCAGAGTAAAGAAAGAGTGCATTCGTTGACACAAAAGTTGCCAAACATTGAGTGTCTGAAGATTTCTCACTTCGATACCGATTTCCAGACACTTTATGACATTCTCGATGCCATCAAATTGTTGGACAAATTATACATTTGTTTTAAGGATGGCTTCACTGACGAGGAAATCAAAGAATTGGGTCAACATTTGTCGGGAAAAGTCACTTATTTAGGTCTAAACCATAATTTCCACGAATCTTCTGTAGCAATGGTTGGAATAATCCCAGAGATAACCGGATTAACACATCTATGCATTTGTTTAAAAGATGACAATAGTATCGCCTATTTATTCCGGATATTACCAGAAACTATCAAATCATTACAACTTAAGGCCTACACATTTAGCAACACTATTAGCCAACAAATGATTGAAAGCAATGCTAAACATTTGGGTTCACTTTATATTGATTTCTGTATTTTAGATGCGGAGTCACTGGAACTGATCATCAATGGTATGGCATTGAAAGCGTTTTCATATCGCGTACGAAGTAATGCAAATGAATGGCATTGTTTGCAAAGAGTGGCACAAAAACAGACAAATCTCGTATATCTAGATCTCTATGACCAGCATTTTCGCGATTATGAATACACAGAGAATTTGATCCTATTTTCAAAAGTCAAAACACTTTCTCTCGCGTCGTGTAATCCAAAGGAACCGGTGTTTGAATCACTCGTGAAATGCTTTCCAGCGCTTAAAACTCTGGTTTTAGAAAACACTGAAATCAAATGCAATATCAATGGAGACGTCAAGTGTTTGACATGTTTTCGGCAAACCTATCATTTGATAGCAAAACACACATCCGTTAGAAAATTGGTTATTCATGATCTAAGTGTGGATAAAAGGACAGCCGTTTTGTGTAAAACACTCAATGAATTCCGCAATTTATCGGCCATTCATTTAAAGTATTTAATGGTATATTCACTTTCTCAGCGCCGACTTCTTAGCGCGGATTACGACACAGTTTGCAAAGAATTGATCACTGATTTCATCGATTGGTATTCAATTGACCCGAAAAAGTGGTTCACAATCTGTATCTACAAGAATGCCGGAGATCTTAGTATTGATCGACAAATACCCAGAAATCTGAAAATTAAAAATTTTAAGTAAAATTATAAAAATGCAGTGTTTAAACAATATACGTATCAGTTATATTGTACATGTATTAATACCCAATAAATTCATTATTCAGTTAATTAAAGAGTTAATACGAATTGCATTAAAATGTCAAATCAATTTGGATTAGTTATAAAAGTTTATTTTATAAATAACTTATATTAATTAAATAATACCCATTGTTTTGGTCACTATTATCATGAGATACGTGCAAAGTATGTGTAAATTCTCAGCAATTATACAATGTATTCTAAAAAGATTGTAAAAGTCATTTAAATTATTGTATAGAATGATATTGTAAAGTTATATTAATTTTAGGGCAAATTTCATACTAATTGTATGTTTAACACATTTAATTGATATTTATTAAAACAATTTAAAATTAAAATTGAATTGGAAATTAAATAAATAGTTTATTCCGAGTAATTCCAGGCGGTTTGGGAGCGGAGCGACCAAATGTGTGTGCATATGCACACACATATGTATCTTAGAAATCATATGGACCCCGAGCGGCATTTTGGACTACCAAAATTTCGACAACAGATTCGCTTGTATGACCAAAAAGTAGAATAGGAAGGGAATAGTAAGAAAAAATCCTATGATGTAACTTTCGAGATAATTAACCGAAAGTCGAAAAAGCCAATAAATTCATATCTTCTGAATGGGAAATGATTAAATTATGGTGTAAAGTGCAATATGACCTCCATTCATCGGGATTAGGGTTAGAAAAAACCGCATCAAAATTTGGCCACAGGTTGACCCGAAAATAACACATTTGTACAAATAGAATTTTCGGAAAACCGGAAATTGGCTTGCGTTCGGCCAATTGGAGAGCTATATTCTTCTAACTTCTTGAGGCATTAGTAAACACCTATAGACATACCTTAGGCACCATAACTCATTTTTGGGTATACAAAATTTTCAACTTTGGTTAAACGCTAGCGCCCCCTGGGGTCACGGGATCGAGGTGGGCCCACCAGCATTATTGTTAAGCTCGATGAGCTAGATAAAAAACATGCCAAACTTATTGCTCTAACTAGTACTAAGACCTGTTTTGAACGAGAAAAACCTTAAAAACATAGTTTTGAGATATACACCATTTCATTTTCGACTAAACGCCCACGATTGCGGGCGACTGGAATTGCCTAGAGAGTTGATAGTTAATATCCTGGTACAAGTTGGAGGTCCGATAAAATTCCCGAAGTCCCGACCCCGGTCGGTCCCGATTTCCGGGAAAACGGGTATACATGTGTTTGCGACTCTAGCGCCACCTGGAAACCTCCGAGTGAGTCGAGACCGGGTCCGTTAAAGTCTTAAGGACATTTGCGAGCAATGAGACCCCCATTTGCCTATACATATCTCTACGCGTTTAGCCACAATTAATCACATTTTATCGCAAAAATGTCCATAGGATTAGCATTATAAATTTTTTATTCCAGTTTAATTAAATAAAAACTTTTCTAAAAACACAAAAATAAATAAATAAATAATAATAATAATAATAATAAAAATAATAATTAAATATCTCTCCCTTTCTCTCTCTCTCTCTCTCACTCATTCACATTATGTGTGCCATTACTGGCCGATGCCATACCTGAGCCCAAAGGCTCACAATACGGGTCGCAAAGCCCGACGCTTTCTGCGGCGGTGATAGCGGGGCCGGAGAGAGACTGATACCCCCTCTGCCGGGCGGATAAAGGCCGGACAGCCTTGAGCAAGCTGCGCCGGCATAATTCAGAATAGGGGTGCTGTCCATTTTTTTTCGCTCCCCCACCCTTTCTCACTCACTCACTATCACTCACACCATGAGTGCCACGACTGGCCGACGCATATCAGCGCCACTGCGCGTAACTCTGGCCGATGCTATACCTGAGCCGTTGGGCTCATAATAAGGGTAGGAGAGCCCGACCATTTCTACGGCGGTGATAGCGGGCCGGAGAGGGACTGACACCCCCTCTGCCGGTCGGATAATGGCGGTTAGCCTTAAGCAAGTTGCGCCGCAAACACAAATAAAAGGGGTGTCGCATTGTTTTGCTTTTTTGGTACTATCTTCCCAGGCGGTTGGGTGCGGCCGAAGCCAGTGCCTGCCCACCTCGCCAAACCGCCTGTGGACGTAGTACTTGTTTATTCAGAGTAATCTATACAATTCATTTCCGATTTGGACCAAATTTTTGCTGCATGCAATTTGAGATGCCCATCATGTAGAGCATAAAAAAGTAGAATAGGAATGTAATAGTAAGAAAAAATCCTATGATGTAATTTTCGAGATAATGGCCAAAACAAAAAACCCTCCCCCATATACTCTCCCATAGAAAAAATAATAAATTCAAAAAAAAGCGCTCAAATTTGGTGAAATCGATATAAAACCCTCTCCCATATACTCCCCCATAGAAAACAAGTTAAAATTCAATTAAATACTATTGTACAAGATTACTCTCATGTCGATTGTACACTTGTTAATTGAAATAAAATATAAAATAAAGTTGATAAGCAATTAAGTTTACATAAAGGGATTTGTTCATTGCTAATACATAAATGGCCCAAAATTGCAAATAAAAAATTTTAAAATTTTTTTAATTTGTAAAAATCATGATCATTGTAATTATAATTATTATTCATGTAAACGGATTAAAATAAAAATATTATACGCCCAAATAACGCGCATAATTGTAAGAAAATTTCTTATTTTTGCTGTAACTTTAGTCACTGATGTCAGAATTTACAAATTCTTTCAGGACATTACTCCACTCACCCATACCTTTCCATTGATATATAATATGATATACTTATTCATAGAATAAAAGATTTGACTTTCGAATTTTTCCCGATAAAAGTGGTCAATGCGGTCAACCCAGAGGTCACTTGACCATATGTAGTATATCACTCGATTCCTTAGATAAAGTACTTTCATTTTATAACAATAATTCCCGGTTGCACGCTATCCCCAAAATGGGCATCCTCCTTTCTATCCAAACAAGGATTGTACAGCAATCCAGGTTAACCATAATTTAATATAATGTAAATTAACCGCTCAGATCGCTATTCACTATATTTCTATAGTATTGCATATAGAGTGACCAACTTGAAAAATGAAAAACCTGTACATTTCCTATACTTTCTTCATAAATTCCGAAACATTCCTGTACATTTTAGTAAACTTCCCTGTACGCTCACTTGGACACTAATTTTTTCAACAAAGCATAATTATAGATAATTATAATCTGTACAAACCATGCATCGCATTCCTGGACAGATAGAATTGTGTATATTATGACGAGATAAATTAATTGAAATTCAAAATATAAATTCAAATTTCAACTACAATTTTGATCATATTAAAAGAAAATTGAGTATTTTAGATTAAAATCCAATAATATTGCTATAAAAGTATAAGACTTTGAATTAATTTTATCAATTTCTCACCTGTACATTATATAGTACAGGCGAGACCCCTGCCTAGACACTGAACAGATTGTCCAAAACCTGTACTGTACAGGCCAAACCTGTACGGTTGGTCACTCTAATTGCATACTTTGCAATACTTTCGCACACTATTGCCGATTAATGTGGTGTGAATGTAGTCTACAAACTCCACTTCTCCCTCCAAGTGCTTATAATCAGGGTTGTTTTCTAAAAATAAATAATTAAAACTTTATTAAATTAACGTTTTATAAATAATAACTTATAATTCATAATCACATTAATTACAATTTAAAATGTGTATCACAAAATTAATTGTCTAAACTTTTATTAACTTAAATTAATTAATACTAATAACTTTATTACCCTCATCAGGCATACAAGTTATAAACTTTTCAAAAAGTACAAACTCTATCAAATCATATCTTTTAAAATCTACCTGATACATATTTTTCCAGCTCACCATGGGCGATTGTATGGCCATTTTTAATTACCACATACGCCCGAAGCCAATGTAAACCAATGCGGTTATTAATGCCGACCACCACAGCGTCGTCCACCGCCTTATGTGACATTAAAAACTTTGCCAACTCATCAGGGTCGATTTGAACAACATTGCATTTTGTCATGCACATTTCTAACAATAAAATTATTAATTAATTTTTTGTCAAAAACACTATGGTTAATAGAAATTCAATGTTTGAAATAATAATACAGTTGTCTCTCATTAACAACTGTTCGTTTCTTTATATTAAATGTAAAAATATTTACCTTCATAGGAAATTCAACTCAATTTAGCATCATTAACATGCAACTTTGCCACACATTTATCAATTATTTGTCATAAATTATGACTTTTTTGGGAATTTTCAATTAATATGACAAAATTGCGATATTCTGGGAAATGAAAGTTGTTTGTTATTACTCTATCATTAGACCTAATAGTAACTAGATGTCGTTTACAAGCATTAAATCATTTCGTCACACTCTATATTGAGCATAAACACCTACAATATGACCAATAAGATTACTCAATAAAAATTATAGTGTAATATTAATGAGTTATCATAAATTAAAATAAATGATTAAAATCCAACATTAAATTACATAAAACTCCAACTCAGTGAACAGATAGTACACATATAATTTAAAAGTTACTTATTTGAAAATATTGTTTATTTGTTTAACAACATGGCCGTACCGAAAGCTGTCCTGGTTATATTAGTGGTGCTGTTAATTACCACAGTACTGGTGGAGCAAATATCAGGAAAAGCAAGTAAAACGTATGATGAGGCCATGGCTAAAATAGCTAAGCATAGATCCGTTCAAGAGGATGCAGAGGCAGACAAAAAAGAACGAGCTAAAGAGGATGAGAAAGAGGATGAAGAATGAATTTAATACAAATTAATGTGTCAACAAAAGCTATATTTAATTTAATTAACTGCTTTTAAAATTGATAATTACTTTGTATATGGGCGGCCAATATCTTTGTTCCAATCTGAATTTGCAATATTTCCCAAACGGGATGAGCTAGCTTAAATCTGTAAACGGTAAAATGATGTCCCATATATCAAATATTTTATCGGAAAAAATTATGCAACTCACGTGACTAGAACATAGAAATTTCTGGGTCATTTCGAAATGCCATATTTTTAGCCCCGTTGTAAGGGGGGTCGGGGAGGGGCGGGTATGCTATTTGGAAGAGGAGATGTGAAAGTATATTATAGCAAAGTTTTATAAACATTGCATAAATATTCTTTCGTAACGAACAAAATATTCAAGAAATTTGACACAATATTTGGACAAAAATGGCCCAATTTTGACTTTTTTATACTACATTTTTGTAGTTTAAAAATTACGACTCTTTAGCAATTTTATCCCATAGACATAATGTTAATAAAATTTACAATTTCTCGTAGATGGCTGAAGTAATCTTAACCAAATTTTGCTATAATATACTTTCACATCTCCTCTTCCAAATAGCATACCCGCCCCTCCCCGACCCCCCTTACAAGGGGGCTAAAAATATGGCATTTCGAAATGACCCAGAAATTTCTATGTTCTAGTCACGATTAATTAGCAATATAATTGTGACATCTATTTCTGACACGTTTGAATGCCCTTGGTGTATTTATAAGCAGCGCAGCGTTTTTCCTCCAAATGATTAATGTATTTTTGGATTTCATTTCCATAGTTAGTTACATCATCAGCGGTACAATCGGCCTAAACATGATAAATAAATTACCAAATAGGAAAATGATCAAATTTTAACAACACAAATTATTTATTCTAATAATTAATAAATAATGTAAATTAAAAACCTACCTGAACAGCTGATAACAGTGAATCCAACTCCACATATTTGGTGCAACAGTGATAGCTCATATTATCGCCATAATCAAGGTCCAAATCGGGTATTTTGTCCATGACCATTTTGGCGGCATCGTATATGGCCACGCTATTACATTCACCACTCATATTATCCATACCCCAAACAATGCTCTGTAGGTCCATGGTCACTTCCCATTCAGTGTTATATTCCATACACTGTCCCACAGTCAAAATGTAGCTAGGATAATTATTGCTGAAAACATCTTTTATTGTTGTAGTTTTAAGTTTTATATAAACTAACTTATGATATAATTTTCTAATGAACAATAGCTTTATATACAATTTTGATGTCTAGTGATTATTTTTATGATTATTAATAAATTTATTATTTATTACGGCATTTATCATGATTAATTAATTAGGCTATTGTAGAGCAAAAACGGATGTTTTGCACATTTTAAAAAAATTTATTATGGATTTGTAAAAGTTTGCCCGTGTTAATTAATTTGCCCAACAATTTGAACGCAATTTACAACATTTAAGACTAGGTCAATTGTATTATTATATTAATCAACATGTTAATCTTATTTCTACGTAAATAATGCACATACTGTATCTTTAATATTTTTAAATTGATTTGTTTTAGGTACATTGTACAAACGTCTAGTTAATATTAATTGATAATCAGATTAAATGCCATATTATAAATTCATGATGTTCATTTAATTTTTATTAAATAAATAAGTTTTTTATTTGCTGTAAATTTTAAAATGTGACGTTATTATTAATATTATTTTAAATGTTTTTAAAAATAATTTTTAATGTAATTCTTTATTGCAATATTGTATTTAAAAATATGGTTGATAGAAGTTGTAGTAATTTCATGATGCAGTAATTTCTCTCTCTCTCTCTCTCTCTCTCTCTCTCTCTCTCTCTCTCTCTCTCTCTCTCTCTCTCTCTCCATTCCCTCATNTCTCTCTCTCTCTCTCTCTCTCTCTCTCTCTCTCCATTCCCTCATTATTTTACTAAATTGTTTGTAATTATTTAATAACTTTAAAATAAAATAAAATGTAAAAGGTTAGTAAATTTTCAATGTTTGCAATACGTATTTATTAAACAAATATACTAGTAATTTGACATTCAAATGTAAATACAATACGAATATACAAATATTCACTAATTAATACTAAATATTTATAAATATATCATTATAATGATAACTTTAATTAATGTCACTACTCATATTCAATATCATCGCAGCGTCTGATATGATCATGGTTAACATTATCCCGGAAACATTGGTCAAAGTGTTTAAAATTATTACTATATCTGTTCCCATACGATGCCATTGAGGTCTGAAATTCCCTGTAACAATCGCGATGACCATTGTTCCGATAATTGTTACCATGGTTATTACCATGATTGTTACGATTATTGTTACGGTTACGGTAGTGACTACGGTGGCCGAGTAGTTGTTTGTGATGGTCGCGGTAGTGTCGGTTAGCGCACTCGTTATACCGCTCCAGGTCACGCTGTATGTGCTGGCAATCACCTAGATAAAATTTATTATTTATAACCGGTCATGTAATAAATACATATATTAATTATTCTAATATTTAATAAATTTAAAGATATAATTACATATTAATTTTAAATCATTTAAGTATATTATATAAACAAGCTAGCTACTAAACTGCAAAACATGATCCTGGCCGATCTTCGTTCCTGTGAGCTGTAATTGTTATCCCAATGATTTCTCCAATTGGCCGTCACGTTGGCCACGTATACCATCATGATTACAAATAAAGAAATAAATACTAGCTGGGACATTATTTTATTTTTAAGATTTTTTTGCAACAATATTTAAACTTTTTTTAAAGCATATTTATAGTAATTTATTTTGGTTTTTTAATGAATATACTAATTATTGTTTTTGTTAATTGATATTTTTAACCGGATTCATTAGTTGATTCAGATTGATTGTGAATGCAAATAATGTTAACTATTTGTACCAAAATGATTGTTATAATTTGTTATTGAAAGTAAATTAATTGCATTATTTATTGGAAATTTACCTGCTATATTTATATGTAATACAGTAGTACTATTACATTTATTATAAAAATATCTTTTAAATGTTAGCTATTTTTTAAAGTTTACTCAAATATTAATTTACTTTATAATGAATCCTGATAATAAATAGCATAAATGAACTAAAAATTGTCCTACAAAAGATATTAATTAATTAGTTTAATTATTAATTTTACTGTTTAATCATGTGGTTTATTATATTGTTTCTCAGACATATTCTTTAATAAAATCACGACAACGTAAACCTTTTTATATTTGCTAAATAAATACATTATAATGAATAGATAATTATATATCATCACGTGTTATTTTAAAATAACTAATTTAAAAACGATCTAATTATAAAGTAAGCTCTAATTTATTACACTTTAATTATACTAGGCAAATAGGGGATCCAGCTGTCTAAATATATACTTCGTGAAACATGCACTTGGTGCTTATTGTTTGGTATACCTAACAATTATTGTTTCTGTTAAAAAAATATTATGTTGCATCATTGTAATGTATTCAAGATATGTACATTTTAAGAAAATAATAAACTCGGGTAAACTCAGATAAATATTTATTCACTTCAGAAATCATGTTTGAAATTAATTATTTGATTTTTTATAAAAATTAATTCCAAATAAATTTCCAAGTTTAAATTAATTAATTAATTACATAAAAATAAATTATAAGTAATAGTTTTATTTTAAAATTGTTAACAGTTTTTAAATGCTGTGTTATAATGATAGTTTAGTCCACTACATACAGTTAATTGTAAAATGATGATATATTTAGTTTTGGATAGTTTTCTGTCAATATTAGCTATTGATTTAAATAAATATTGCAACAGCCTGGTAAATAAAAATAATACAATTATAAATTTATACATGATTTACCGATAACAATTAATTCACAAAAATTGATAATTATAGTCAAACAGCAAGCATAGAGATTTGTAGTAATAACTTAAAACTTATAACTTTTTAGTTACAAAATATATGTTAAATTTAATAGTATAGTTAGCAATATTATTTATTTTATATTACTAGTGAATTGAATTAATTAATTAATAATTCTATAGCAGTAAATACTGACGACGTGAGACTTATTTAGTAAAATAGGTATATGGTGAATTCATAAAATATGCAATGCATATTATGCATGATCAAATTTATTCATATTCATTGTGCTCGCACTTTTTAATGTGGTCCCTATTTAAATGGTTGCGAAAACATTTATTGAACTTCTCGTAACCGCCCTGCATCGATTTCATCGACGTTTGAAATTCCTTGTAACAGTCTTTATGGCCTTGTTTACGGTTATTGCGATAGTGTGTCCGGTGATTTAATAAACGTTTATGTTGCTCAGCATATTCTCTGTGCGCACACACGTTATACTTTTCCAGATCGGTTTTGATATAGTCGCAATCACCTGGTTATAAAAATTGTAACACAATCAATATAATTCATACAATAAGTTATAATATTACATTGTAATTTAAATGATATGCATTAGTTTCTAGTAACTAGTAATCTATAGAATTCGTTTCGGTAGTGACCGTTATTTTTGTGGACCCTATTTGACTATGCCTATCGTGTAGATCATAAAAAAGTAGGATAGGAATGTAATATCAAGAAAAAATTTTATGTTGGAATTTTCGAGATATTGCCGTCGGGAATAAACCCTCCCCCATATACTCCCCCATAGAAAATTCAAAA